CTATTTCTGAAGGTAGTTGGCTGGCTCCTTTGTGCCTTATCGCGGTGACGAGTAAGGCTACCAATGGTCCCTCCATGTTGTTTGTAGAGCTCTGCGAAAGGTTCCTCTGCAAAAAGGTGAGAACCAGAGGGAGGTATGCCCTCCATAAGTGAAGCAATGTACTCATTACGTGGCTTAAAGTTATTTCTTCTTTGTTCAATAGCCTCTGCTCTTTTACCACATACGTACTGTAATAGGTCATCAGAATGATTTCGAAAATGTGAACTCGGTGATAGAAAACATTCCAGCATATCGTCTTTCAGGGAAGGATGCTTTGAAGAGAGAGAGTCTATCGCCTGCGAGAAAGCCTCCCTTTGAAGAAGAAGCCCATGAGAAATTGTACCCAACATACCATCTATCTTAGCCATTTGTTCCTGAGATGAAGATAGAGGAAACGAATGTCTCAGCTGATGATTTACACTTAATGGACCAAAAACGGGAATAGCTTGTAATCTTTTTTGAACATCAGAATAACGAATCTTATTGAAGGATTTCATTCCAAATCTCTGACAGTCCATGCCTTGCTCTGCAATATGCGGTTTAGCAGAAGCTATCAAAGGTTCCTGTTCACGTGTCCTTGGTAAAAAATCGAAGTTTGATGTATTAGTCTTCTCGCTGAAAAATTCCGGAGCTACCCAGGATGCGTTGTCCTGATCCGGCATAAGTCTCTCTGATGGAGGTATATTCTCCTCGTCTTCTTGGTCAATATAGGAGCTTGAAACCTCAGAACAGTTATCCTCCTCGTCACCCCTTTCGTCATTCGCGCCTTCAAATTTATTCGCCATAGTCTCTAGGAGCTCTTTCATTTCACGATTGCTCCTTTCCAATCTGTCAATGCGAGACTCTTCTTGCTCTTTTTGAAGGGGATTCCATGGATTCATCTGACTCATCTGACATATTGCTGGCCAGCTGAGCCGACGCTCTTTCCCTTGATAACATCAGAGGCTTCATGGCGCCTAGAGCAGCCAACACGGTCTCATTCTGTACGGCCGAACCCCTCACTCTAGCGGCTAAGGAAGGTGGACCTATGATGAGGCCAACGCAAAAGGGCCACGACAGCATTTTGACCTTCATATCTCGGTAGACTCGTTCAGGCAAATTTGGCGCATGCGGACTGAAAGTTTGAGCTAAGCCCACCGTAGGCAAAGCAAAACGTAGTTTATTGAGAATTTGCGGGTCAAGTTCCTTTCCCAATAATTCCTCTCTTGTAGAAATCACCGCCCTCCAGTCCTTCCATCCCTCAGGCAAATGAGCTGCAGCCAAACTTTTTATTCTATCTAGAATCTCGTTGTCCTTGGAATCTTCAACACTGATCTCAAATAGCTCTGCAAGCGATTGCATACCACCTGGGAGTGTCATCTGCAATAGAAGAATGTCCAAATATAGCAGAAAACGTGAACGTTATATAGATCGGAATATACGGCTTGCATGAGAGAGCCGTACGGTTGCTTAGATCGAGCCGTACGTCTGCATTAACCGAGCCTAATTCGAGCCGTATGGCTGCCCAATCGAGCCATCCGACTGCATAAATCGAGCCGTATTACTGCCTATATCGAGCCGTTTGGCTGATAGATCGAGCCGTGGCTGATAGATCGAGCCGTATGGCTGATAGATCAAGCCGTATGGTAGGCTGCATTAAAGCGTACGGCTGAATAGATCGAACCGATAGCTGCATTCATCGAACCATATTATGACTGCTTTGACTGAGCCGTAGGGCTGCATGAATCAAGTCGTATGGTAGCTTAGATCAAGTTATACAGCGATGTGAGTTATATGACTGCACAAAGCAATTTATTGAAGATTCGATACCAAAAAGAACCGAAGGCTATAGCGCCTTGAAATGATAAAATACGAGTTGAAGAACGTCGTACAGCTCGAATCACAGCTACAAAACCTACAAGAAAATTCATTTATGATAACAACTAACTTACTTTTCCAGGCACTAATACACTTTTGATCACCCCTGATCGAAATATATAAGCGATTTAGTAAAATCTCGAACGGCACTCGCCGTTTTCTTCCCCTTTAATTTGATTTTTTAATTTTTTTATTCGAGAGTGACCGTACTGTCTGGAAAATTGAAGCGTACTAACAAATCCCCGCGGCACAGGACAGGTAAGTCAGGAGAAACAGATGACAGCCTGACGCGGGGCTGACGTGACGCGGAATAAACATGGAACAGGCGTGAAAGAGTGACGTACTGGAAGGAAAATGGGAGATGTAATCTCATAAGGGGTCAAGCCGACGGCACAGACATGAAATGAAGGCTTTGGCAAGGGGGCACTGTTGGTGGTCAGGTATATCACAGGATATAGAGACCCTCTGCAAAAGCTGTGTCGATTGCAACAAAATGAAAAATAATCCTAGCAAAGTGCCCATTCATCATTGGGATACTCCAACAGTACCCTTTGAACGAGTGCACATAGACTATGCAGGTCCATTCTTTAACTTTTATTATTTTATATTAGTAGATGCTTATACTAGGTGGCCTGAGATTCACATGGTACAAAACATGACGAGTCTCACCACCATAAACCTTTTGAGACAAATTTTTGCTTCTTTTGGCATACCAAAGATTATTGTCTCTGATAATGCGCAAAACTTCGTGTCCTATGAGTTCAAACAATTCCTACAAGAAAATGGTATAACTCACCGCTTGAGTGCACCATATCACCCAGCCACTAATGGTTTAGCGGAAAGATACGTTCAGACCTTTAAGCAATCACTTAGAGCGCTGAAGGGGGATAACCAAAATCGGCAGAAACAACTTTGTAAATTCCTATTACAGTATAGGAAAACACCACATTCTGGAACTGGTGTAAGTCCATCGTACATGCTTTTTGGTAGAGAAATCAGATCCAGATTAGATCTATTGCGTACAGAAAGGTCTGATAGAATAAATAACAATTTAGACGTACAGGAAAAAAAATTCGTTACTTGAAAATAGGCGATAGGGTAGCGTGCCGTGATTATATCCATAATGACAAGTGGGAATTTGGTAGGATAAAACAAAAAAATAGGTCATTTACATTATGTCATAGAGCTCGATAACTCTAGTGTCTGGAGGAGGCACATAGATCAGATTCAACTAATAGGGGAAAATACTCCGGTCATGCAAAAGTACCAGGAATCTCACCAGATACCTCAAATGAACTTAACACGTTCAAATCGTTCAGACAATGAACTAAATGAATCACCAAAAATTAATCCAGCAATATCTGATGAAGGAATTTATCCACAAATATCTGACGAAGTAGTAGCACCACCAGAACTCATTCAAACGAAAAACTCATTACCTACCTCTAGTGTCCCTGATGATGTTTCTCATACCTTGCCCAATGGACTTCCCGAACTGCGGAGATCCACAAGGATCATTAAACCTCCTGAAAGACTCAATTTGTGAGGGGAGAGTTGTTGTATATTTGAATGCTACCTTATAACCGCGAAAGTATTTATGTTGGTAGTCTGGACTTTCATTGTTGTCAATGTTGTCATTGTTGTCAAGTGACGAAATAGGAAGGGGTATTGGAATTATGCACATTTATATTCATTCATTCATTGATTCATCTCACATACAGATGACATACACTGTTCGGTAAATAAAATGCCAGTTAATCATTCTCGAGCAATTTATTTCTCTCCACCGTCAAGACATACATAAGGGTACATACACAACAGATATTGTCCAACCAAGAGATGCAGCAACATGCATTTGAAAACAGTCTGTTGTAACATTCATTTACCGGCTGCGACACAACATACGCAACGTTCAGGTTTCTAGTGGAATTCACATAATTATACTTGAAATCTGAAATCATTAATCAAGCGCAGAGATCTTCGATCTCTCCTCCACTAACAGCGAGTTGAAAGGGGCTAGGAAGAAGTGCTCCCTGAAATGATGTAGGGCACCAGCAAGAGAGCTCTCTCTCAGTTAGGTTAGGTTAGGTGGCAAATAATAAGCCAGACCTCAGCATCCACCCACCAACTGAAAGCGCAGCTGAATAGTATTTCCGGCGCACCTACCAGCAAGTTCAGCAGCACATGTAGGAGACACCGTAGCACCAATTACAACGAAGATCTACCAGCACCAGAGGTCCTACTGATTTAGTAAATTGTTTTATCAGGATCAAGTGAGAATGTTCCTTTTCCAGTGACACTTTGTTTGACAAGCGAATTTTGCATTTGCGAGGCGGAGCGTTTAGCGAAGCCGAGCGAAAGCATACTTTGCGAGTCAAACAGGGTCACTTTTGATCCGAATGAAACATGCTATTTTTTCTGCAACCGAAAGAATCAACTAAAATTAATATGTGAAGTAACCACCAATGCCGTGCGATATGTATGCAATGCAACAAAAAATCCGTGTGGTGAGAATCTTCTACCTGCATTAATAGCAATTTTCAAGTATTTTCGAACTGTCAGTTTCAATATAGATATACAACTAATGGCAAATACCGCGCCAGTGCCAGGTATAGAAACAACACGTTGAAAATGTAAGGAATTACCTGTTCTCAAGTGTGGCAACACATCAGTATATGCAGAGCTGTAACAATCCATATTATTTGTTGTCGGACCTACCCGCCAACCCGCCAGAATAATAACCAACTCTAATAAAAAAAATCGTTTAGGTCCCTGCTCACCTATATGTGGTTGTTTGCAAAGTAAGCAGAACATGATTTTCACATTCTTCTCAACAGCGTAGAGAAAATTTGTAAACAAAGTTGTAATTTCAAGTTATATATGTAAAATCAGCTATTCTACTAGCTACCTATTCTCGTTTCCCAATAAAACCTGTAAACTTATAGATTACACACTTTTGAAAATAATACGAAATTTCACTAAACATTTCATAAATAATCTAATTTACTTATGGGTGAAGATCAAAAACCATCTGTAAGAAACCCTCAAAAGTATGAACATGCACTTTTGGGCCACTCTCATTGATTAAACCAATCCAATCCATTCTCGATAAATATAAATTTTATTTTTCGGACAGCAGTAATTACATTAATCAGTTAAGTAGGTGTATAATATTGAAATATTGTATAAATTTTACTAGATAAATAAAGTATAAAAATATGGTTTTAAAATACCCTAAGATGAAACTTCATGATTCAAACAAAAATTACTAAATTGAGTAAATAGTATATCTATAATTCCCAGGAAAAAATTAGTGGTCTAAAAATGTATTTCAATTCACAACAATAACAGCTGGGAAAGCTGAAAAAAATTAATAAATACAATAAACATTAACGAGAATATAAAGAGATTTGAATTAATCACAATAAAAAAAATAATACTTAGCTAAATCACTCCAGCGATATGTTTGGACTAGGAGACCCCCTATCCCGTTTGCTGCTTTTCCTACTCTTTGACTTATCTTTTCTCTTTGTCGATCCAGAACTAGAGGCTGAGTCTGCTGGAGATGTACTGTTAGAATGATCTTGCAAATGAAGAATGTCTCTCAAATTACTCAATTCATCATCTTCACCCTCTACATCAACATTCAAGGAGTCGACTGGTTCTGGTTCATAATTTTTTTTTGGTGTTCCTAAAAATTATTGGGAAATACCTTTAAAAAGCGCCTATTGTTGTATCGCAAAAAATGATTTTATTGATATGTAAAAATTCACAAACAATACGATTTCCACGGAATTTTTAATAACAAAACCCGACTTATTGTAGTATTTTATTTGAAGAAACTACTGTGTTGGTGAAACACAGGCCCTGACAGGACCGGCAGACAACCGGGGCCAGGGGTGTTACCACCGATACAACAAGGCCAGCAGACTCTGACGTAAACAGCTCGTGACATCACCAAGAGAGGCCAATGTTTTATTTTATCGCTTGTCGACTAACGCGCCAGTTCGTGTTAATTCATCGGTGATTCACGTATGTTTTTGAAACGGTCCCGAATTCTTTTGTTGTTTATTCATCAAAATAATTGGCGGAAAAATTACTGTTTTGTGAAATATTTTGTGTTGTGATCGGCGAAATAACAATGCCTTTCAAGTGTTGTGTTCCCTTTTGTCGGGGGAATTATGTGGGTGGTTCAAAAGTTCATGCTTTTAGTTTCCCGTTGGACGAGGAGCTATCGAAAATGTGGGTATATGCACTTCACCGCAGAGCTTAATTTATAATGATGAATTAATAATGGAAGATAATTACTCTCTCATAAAAAGTATAAGTAGAGGAAAAATAGAAAAGCTTTGATTGTGCAGTTAGTTTTGTATTCGTATATTATAGTCAACAAAATCATCTCTGAATTCGAGGAAATTTTCTTGAATATTCATAATAAACGGGCATTTTTAATTCTCATTCTCAAATTTCTTTCTGAAAACGGTCATTTGCCTCGTGGCAATGAATGCAGAATTCATTCCAATGATCAAATTGCAACTATCATATTAACATGAACTAAAAACACTCTACTTAAAAAGGTGAAACTGCATTCATCATGATATTTATCATGAAGATATTTGACTAAAAAGTACCAAATTTCACCTTCTCTTTCACCTGTCTTCTGGATGGCATTTAGAACAAATTTCCCTTCTTTTTTCATCATATTGGACAATTTATATATAATTCAACTATAAATATGATTTTCTTGAGATTAATCCATATTTAGTGAAAAGAAGGAAGAATATCATTCAAAATAATGGCGTGTGTAATGTCATTCGAAAGCAATCTATTGACATTTGACATCTCGTATTTTGATTGACTATTGATTAAATGGTCGTCATCTGGAATGCTTGTTCACTAAATATGAAAAACTCGCCATAAAAATCATATTTCCTGTTGAATTTTCTATATAAAAATGTGCCATCGAAGTACATCATGAGTATATAAAGTGTCCAATGACAAAATAAGAGCAAGTAGCTTCAAATGCCCCCAACACAAGGGGAGAAAGAAGGCGAAATTTCGAACTTTTTCTTGAAATATCTCAATAAATAGTGGTTTGTTCACATTTTCATTATAAAATTCGGTTTATTAGACAAAAATACGTGAGTACCGAAAAAAATTTTCAAAAAAAATCCATCGCATGATAAATGCAGTTTTACCCTTAAAAATTACGGTTTCAAGTGTAACGATCCACTTGGGTGAAAAATCCAACAACAGAAATATGAAAACACTCACTGGTTATTTTTTCAGGTAATAGGAATTCTCCAAGATAAATATAGGTAATTGTAACAAACGGCATGTCAATCAAAATAAAATACATTTTCCACAATTTTCTTTCGATCAATCTCACGATAAGTTTATGTTCTGCGGGTCCTGTATAAGTAGGTGTGAAGTTTACCTTCACCACAATTTTTGCCAATATATTTAATTCGAATGGGTTGCTGTAGGTGGATATTTGTGTTTTATACTGGTTTTTGCTTTAAAACTTCGTTTTTCCATAATAAAATCGAATGGGGTGCGAAGAAGGGCTCAGTTGACGACTGGCATCCTTTTTTAACCGGAAGCCCTTCAAAAAACAGCAAAATCGGCTCAATGATGATCTAAAACTAAAATCGAAATACGCGGTCGCTTTCGAGCCGCTGGTTAGGCCTCACTAAGTGACGTCACCCACGGAGCATGCAGGCCTTGTTGTATCGGTGGTAACGACTTTACCCACATGTTAAACATATCATTTTTCCGCCTTCCTCAAATAACAAGTCATTTGCAGATTATTTATTCAGGACACTAACAAACAAAATTTATTAAAGAACAAAAACTAAGAACTAGGTACAGTATAACTTGAAGGCACGTTATTTTCATACAACACACAACACAAAACAGAAAAATCATGAGAACAGTCGGTAAATCTCTTCGCAATTTTATTATGTGATTCGATAATAATTATTTACTAGCTGAAAGCCCTCCATACAATGAAATGCCTTTTGAACCAAAAACTACACCTCAATAACCCTCAGAATTAGACAAATCTCAAAACAGTCGAAATTCCTGTTTCCCAAAGTGTTTTGATAGAAATGGATTATTCTAGACCTGCTGAATACGATCTATGGAATGAGATAATTAGTGAACCAAAAACTACCACCAACAACCCTCCGAAGTAGAAAAATCGTAGAACAATCGAAGTTCCCGTTGCTTGAAGTTATTTGATGGAACTCAATTATTCAAAACCTGCTGAATTCGCTCTATGGGGTGAAATAATTTGTGAACCAAAAACTACTCTCAACAACCCTTCTAAATTAAAAAAAATCATAAATCAGTTGAAATTCCCGGTGATCGAAGTTGTTTGATAGAAAAGAATTATTCTAAACCTGCTATGAATATACGCTCTGTTGGGTGAAATAATTTGTGAATCAGAAACTACCCCTCAACAACCATCCGAAGTAGAAAAATCATAAATCATTTGAAATTCCTGTCCGTCGAAGTGTTTTTATGAAAATGTATTATTCTAGGCCTGCTTGATATGCCCTATGGGGTGAAATAATTTGTGAACCAAACTACCCCCCAACAACCCTCTGAAGTAGAAAAATCATAAATCAGTTGAAATTCCCGTTGCTCAAAGTTTTTTGATGAGAAATTAATTTTTATTACGCTCTATAGGGATTGTTAAGTATTCTGTGCTATAGGGCGAACATGAAATAATTTGTGATCCAAAACATACCCCTCGACAACCCTCCGAAGTAGAAAAATCTTAAATCAGTTGAAAATCCCGATGCTCGAAGTTTTTTTTGTGGATATTGATTATTTTAAACTTGCTGAATAAGCTCCATGGGGTGAAATAATTTATTGAACCAAAAACTACCCCTCACAACCCTCCGAAGTCGAAAAATTATAAATCAGTTGGGGTTCCAGTTGCTGGCACTATATTGATGAAAATGAACTCAAAAATGAATTATTCTAGACCTGCTGAATATGCTATAATGGGTGAAACATTTTGTCAACCAAAATCTAAGCTGATTTCTGATTTTTCTACTTCGGAGGGTTGTACCCCATAGAGCGTACAGTCGTATTCAATAAAAAAGCGTACAAGTATTAAAAAGAAAGGATTTCGGGATCCTAGTTCTAGTAGGTAAAACTGGTTCAGCCAATGCTTTGTGTTTTCGAGAACCTATGACAACTTTACTGTCAACATTTGGTGAACAATCATTCCGGATAGCCCGTTTTATGCAGAATAGGATGACGTTAATTTATCTCTGTAATATACTTTTTTTCTGAATGCGACTGTATTTAGCAGGTCTAGAATAACTCATTTCCATAAAAACCTTCCAGCAACAGGAATTTCAACTGATTTATTAATTTTCTACTTCGGAAGGTTGTAGAGGGTAGTTTTTGATTCACTAATCATTTCACCCCATAGAGCGTATTTAGCAGGTCTAGAATAACTCATTCTCATAAAAAAAACTTCAAGCAAGAAGAATTTTGAATGATTTATGATTTTTCTACTTCTGAGGGTTGAAGTGGGTAGTTTTTGATTCACAAATTATTTCACCCTAAAGCACGTCTAGAATAACTCATTTCCATAAAAAACTCCGAGAAACAGGAATTTCAACTGATTCATGAATTGTCTACTTAGGAGAGTTGTTGTGGGGTAGATTTTCGTTCACTAATCATTCCACCCCATAGAGCATATTCAACAGATCTAGAATGACTCATTTCCATCAAAAAACATCGAGAAACAGGATTTTTTAATGATTTATAACTTTTCTACTCCTGAGGGTTGTTGAGGAGTGGTTTTTGGTTCATAAATTATTTCACTGCATAGAGCGTATTCAGCAGGTTAGAATAATTCTTTTCCATAAAAAAACCTCAGGCGACGGGAATTTCAACTGAATTTAGATTTTTCTGCTCTGGAGGGTTATTATTGTTAAGGGGTAGTTTCTGGTTCAGAAATCATTTCATTGTATGGAGGGTGTTTACTCAGAGTAAAATTATTGATTCACAAAATGAAATCGCCATCAAGAGATTTCCCAACAACTGTTCTCATGATTTTTCTGTTTTGTAGGGTAGTTATTGGGTGGTTTATAAATCACAAGATATTTTACTATTAGGAGCCTTCTTCAACTCCTTCAGATCAGTGGACTTGTATAAAAAATCTCCAGCAATAGAGCTTTTACTTCCTTCATACATATACAATAAGCAAAGTTGAAAAGCCATTGCCAGAAAAACCATTGCTGCTTTCACACCCGTTTCCCTAGATCATCTTAGATGAACAAATTAAGTGATTTCCTGTTCTCGACTTTGTTTTTTTTTCTTTTTAATAGCTGTGTTATATCTATTGCCTAATGAGTGAAGATGTTTTCATTCAAAATTAGTATGAAAACAGTGTAACCAAGATAGCATAGGGATCTCAGAAAAGGTAAGAGCTCAGGTAGGAGATATGAATTTGGTTGAATGGGAAAAAAGGAAAGAAATTGGGCATTCATAGGGTTATTTCAACAACTTCGAATTTATTCATAGTCTTTCAGTTAAGTTTATAGAAAAAGGATATGTTATTATTTCAGTAAAACTGAAGATAGGTTTCCATAGCAACATTTAATAGAATCTGATGTGTCCTGATTATGTGTTTACAGATTCTGGAAGTTTTTTTCAGTCTAAATGCAACCATGTATAATACAAAATAGTTTGAATTTATTTCACCCTTGGTTTTGCCTCAATTTTAGCCATCAAGGAACAATATCATCTGTCAAATATTGTTGGACTAGTTATTGAATACCTACTGGAAAGTGAAAAAATATATATTTTACTGAACTATTCAACACAATTTCTTTCACAGAGAATGAATGTAGCATGTTAGCTATATCCAATTTTTCATCATTTGTCAAATCTAACTAGCCTAATTATGACAGATCCCAAAAAATCCAAACAATTCTCAACACCTTCTCTTCATTACACATATATTACTTGTATTGATCTATTTTATAGAAGGAATAATTTCATTATTATACTTAGAAAAACTGAAGCCATTGAGAAAAAAATAATATTTTTCAAGATATTTTTATTTGTAATCATTAGAAGGTACCTCCAAAGGAACTTGTTGGTTATAATTGTATAAGTGCATGAAAATTAAGAGTGATAATTTTGCAATAAAGCCTGGCTGGAAATCTTGCCTGGTTTCACACTGATAATAAAACAAACCTGCAAATTGGGGGCCAGTCAAAGAAAATGCTGGGAAGCAAAATAGTAGCTAGTCTGGGCATGCAGAAACATGTTTTTAAGGGTTTTGTAAATATCTTCAAAAATTCTGAATATTTTCACTGAGATTTTTAACTAAGAAATGCACAACCATGTTCAATAAACAACACCATCAAAAGTAAGAAAGAGGAACAAAACTCAATTCCCTTCAATGACACCTACTACTGTTTCTACAGGTATCATAAAAATTGACCACCAAATTCTTACCTCTACCTTTCTTGCTACAATTCTTGTCCTTTTTCTTCTTTCTTCTATCTCCAGTGCTCCAGTCAGCATCATCTTCATCATCAGTAGGAGGTCCCCCATAGTTTGAACTATCTTTACTGCTGCTAGCAACTCTTCTAGCAGCATTACGTGACCTACCTAACCTACCCAAACCCATACATGTTTCCAAGTGAGGAGCAAATCTAGGTGCAGCTACAGCTCGATCACAATAAGGGCAAACACAGTCTTGAGTTTTTTTCAGATTATGCTGTGAAAAGATGTCTATGTCTCCAGGTTCATTTTCATCGCAACTATCACTGACGTCCAAATCATAGGCGTTGGTCTTGTACTTTCGATGCAAGTGGAAAATGATTCCCAAGGTAAACTCATCTACTAAATTATTCAGGAAATTTTCTAAAGAAGCACGTAACTGCTGTTTATCGCTGATTAAATCATGGAAATCTCTCGATAGACTACTAAATAATTGCTTCTGATCCAGCTCCTGTCGTTTTGACATTTCTTGATGAAATTGAAAGTTTTTTGAAATTGCCGCCGCCTAGATGATCCCCCTTATTCCAACAGACTGCCTAAGTGCCAAACCAGCCAAACCTACAAAGCTAAGTGAATGAGCTTGAGAAATTCAGTTTGTCCACCTAATTTCAATTTCTTATCAAAAAAACTTCAGAAAAATGTTTCACAAGTCAGCAAATAGAAACATGGGTAACACGGGTAATCATGGGGTATTCAATCTTGAATCATGCATCATGCTTAAATCTTAACAGCACTGCACTGAACTGAATAGCGAACAGTTGAATAGTTGAACGCTGAAAACGTGAAAACCTCAAAAAACCTCATTTATTCATCTGAGGTGAAAACTAATTTTTCCAACTTTCAACTTTCTTCAGTAATTTCCATTTGGGACTGGCTACTGCACGGTCCGACCATTCACTAATTTAGCGTTCGGGGCCGGTCCGACCGTACAATAACATTTTGTTCGGAGCCGGTCCGAATACTTCGACACTCGTCTTGGCCAGGCAGCATAAATTGACAGAATTGAAAAATTGAATTTTTTTTTAACAATCAATCGACCTAGATGAACCTTTTTTCTTGAAGAAGGAGAATTTTTCTTGAGGAAGGAAAATATTGTTTCTGCATAAAAAATGAGAAGGCGGTACATATACTAAAAATTGGAACGATACAGAGAAGATTAGCATGGCCCCTGCGCAAGGATGACACGCAAAATCGTAAAGCGTTCCACATTTTTAGTATATGTACTCGCTTCGGCGGTACATATAGGTCGCGTGCACGATGACCGACCCTGGAGGCAAAATATTGAAACACAACCTCACTCTTCTGTGAATTATTGAAACACAACCTCACTTTTTCATTTGTTTACAGAGGAATCAAAAGGTTGAAATAGTTTTTCACAATATTTTGGCATACGAATCGTGTTTCTTCTGTTATTCATTAATTCAAGCATGCCTTCACATTGTGCTGTTGTACAATAATGCACAAAAAATGCAGCAAGAGACTAGGGAATATGATTTTTCAGGTAAATAGTAATCTCACATAGTTATCATTATAAAATGTTGTCATTCCTTATTAAAATTCCTTCTGCCTTTTGCCACTTCTGCAATACAAACTAATACTGCTAATAGATTGAAAATGTCTACAACACACACGATCGTCAGCATGGCAGACCAGTCCTCCCGATTGATTGCATGAATCCAATCTTCTTGCATTATTCCAGAAATTTCAGGTATATTTCTATTAGCTCTTATTGCAGAAGGAATTCCGATGAGAAATCAGAGAAATAACCAAATTTCAAAAAACTTTTAAATCATAATATACCATCCGGATTCCTTCATCTTCCGCTGCAGTTTTTGTGCATTTTACAACAGCACAATGTGATGGCATGAGCGAATTGATGAATAGCGGAAAAATACGATTCATATGCCAAAATAATTGTGGAAAACTATTTTGATCACTTGTAAACAAGTAAGAAAAGTGACGTTTTGTTTCAATGTTTTGCCTCCAGCGTCGGTCATCTGACAGTTCTTGCACGCAACCCATACTATTTATGAGTATATCTGTACTTGTATTAACACCAAATAAAATATTCTATTCTATTCTAACCTAACCTAACCGAACCTCACCTCTGGCCTAAACATAGAAAACCCCTAAATAAACCTATTTCCCATATGGAATATTTTTTAGAAATCACTTGAGAACAAGAAAAAAATAAAAAAAAGATGAACCTCGCACGGATTCGAACCCCGGCCCACCGGCTTGGCATGCCGTTGCTCTGCTTACTGAGCCAACCAGTTGCTTACGAGACGAAGTATGAACAATATATTATTGTACGGTCGGACCGGCCCCGAACAAAATGTTATTGTACGGTCGGACCGGCCCCCAACAAAATGTTATTGTACGGTCGGACCGGCCCCGAACGCTAAATTAGTGAACGGTCGGACCGTGCAGTAGCCAGTATCTTTCCATTTTGACTTTGACATATGATATGTTAAATTCACAGGTTAGGTGAAGTAGAAAAATGGGTTGCGTGCAAGCAAATCAGTGGCAAGCAAGCGTGCAAGAACTGTCAAGCCTTGCTGTCAGATGACCGACGCTGGAGGCAAAACATTAAAACACAACCTCACTTTTCTTATTTGTTTACAAGCAGGGACCCGGACCCAAATGAAATATCGGTTTCGGTTCGGGTTCGGGTCCAAGAGAAATGGGAAATTTCGGTTCCGATTCAGTTACGGTCCCGGAATATAATTTCGATTCGGTTCTGCCAATTTTTTTCGGTCCAAAGGGTTCTTTTCGGTACGTCATATGTATATTTCAAAGATACCATGCTTATGTCAATGAAAATGAAATTTTACGAAAGCTGGACAATTTAACAGTTGATCTACATCGAACAATCCCCTTGACTGCAATCTCAAGGAAAATACCTTTTTAGCTGTTTTTCCAAAAATTAATATACATGCAGAAAACACAAGACTGAAAACACTGAACAGTATCTTACGAAAGCACCCTGGTGTCACGCACACTTTTCTTTTTTTGAAAACTCATTATAATGACTTTTTTCTCATTATAATGAGTTTTTTCTCATTATATTGACTTTTTTCTCATTATATTGACTTTTTTTTCATTATAATGAATTTACTTTCTTTCTTCAGAGTCTCCTCCTGCTTCTAAGACTAACACCAATAGGGTCCAATCTTTCAATATAATTCTTACACTTCTATTCGTAATTACAAATCCTTGCTGGATGCATTTCAAATGCATCCATCGATAGCCGTGTAACTGTCCGTACTTCTCAACTTGTTCGGCTATAAAATTCAAAACTTCTGGTAAGGGAGTAAAATATTTCTTTCTGTAGAGGCCCATTATCTTCAATATTCGTTTAACTGTTGATAAACTTATACACTGTTTATGATATACCGTCAGGAAAGCCATAATTTCTTCGCAACTAAGACCCAATAAAAAGTAGTATGCAATATAATTGGCCACCACATCCATTTTGATATAAATCATAAGAAATCTAATTAATAATGATAATCTAAACCAAAGAAATCATGTTTACACAGAAAATATAAAGGCGAATAATAATAAAGTCATTATACCTATATAATGAGAAAAAAGTCATTATAATGAGAAAAAAGTCAATATAATGAGAAAAAAGTTATTATAATGAGAAAAAACTCATTATAATGAGAAAAAAGTCATTATAATGAGAAAAAATTCATTATAATGAGAAAAAATTCATTATAATGAGAAAAATTCATTTTAATGAGAAAAAACTCATTATAATGAGAAAAAAGTAATTATAATGAAAAAAAAGTCAATTTAATGAGAAAAAAGTCATTATAATGAGAAAAAACTCATTATAATGAGAAAAAAGTCATTATAATGAGTTTCCAAAAAAAGAAAAGTGTGCGTGACACCAGGGTGCTTTCGTAGTATCTTTATTATTTAGATTACAAAAATATTGAATACAATATATAATTATTGATTCTTTCTTTTTTTTTCAAAATAACTCTCCATATTATTCTCCTGTCTCTCCATCGATTTTTTTTTATTTCCCTTGCATAAAAAAGTCATGAAACAAAATGAAAGTTTTTCATAGAACTCACAGAACATACAAGCTCTGATATCACCACTTATAAATCTTGGAGAGAACCGAAATTAACCTGAAAAACCGTTTTGACGTTTAGGGGTTCCGGTTCGGTACCACTGAATAATAGAAGTTTGAATATGGGTTCAGTTTGGGTTTCGGTTCACAAAATAATATGGGTTCCGTTACGGTTTTCGGTTCATAACGGTTCCGGTCCGGGTCCCTGTTTACAAGTGATCGAAATAGTTTTCCACAATTATTTTGACATATGAATCGTATTTTTCCGCTATTCATCAATTCGCTCATGCCATCACATTGTGCTGTTGTAAAATGCACAAAAACTGCAGCGGAAGATGAAGGAATCCGGATGGTCCATTATGATTTAAAAGTAAGTACCTACTCTCATCGGAATTCCTTCTGCAATAGGAGCTTATAGAAATATACCTGGAATTTTTAGAATAATGCAAGAAGATTGGATTCATGCAATCAATCGGGAGGACTGGTTTGACATGCTGACGATCGTGTGTGTTGTAGGCATTTTCAATCTATCAGCAGTATTAGCTTGTATTGCAGAAGTGGCAGAAGGCAGAAGGAATTTTAATAAGGAATGACAACATTTCAGAATGATAACTATGTGAGATCACTATTTACCTGAAAAATCATATTTCCTAGTCTCTTGCTGCATTTTTTGTGCATTGTACAACAGCACAATGCGAAGGCATGCTTGAATTAATGAATAACGCAAGAAACACGATTCGTATGCCAAAATATTGTGAAAAACTATTTCAACCTTTCGATTCCTCCACAGAAGAGTGAGGTTGTGTTTCAATATTTTGCCTCCAGGGTCGGAAGCTGATAATTGTGTTTAACCGTGACGTCATTTCCGTTTGGGAACACCTCCCCAAACAACTCCCCTACCTAAAAGTGGCTAAATCTTTCGAACCATTCCCATCACGTGATATGTTGAGATTCGTGTTTTAAACTGTGGTTTGGTCAAGCAGTTTTATTCTGATCCACTAATAGCATGGCGTCAGCCAACTGTGATCATTTGTCTATTCCGTCTATTCAGTTCTTGAAATCCACAAAATATCGTCTAATCTCACTGCACAGGCTGATGTCCACCATCATAACATTAGGATTTCTGATATGATATCAGAATCCCTAGATATAGGCTCTCTGTTTCACAAAAAAATTCTTTAGATTTCAATCTTTATAATGCACTGCCACATCAAGTTAAAATATTGAATATGAATGAGTTCAAACGAACAATCAAATCGTATCTGTCAAATAATAGTTTTTATTCTATCGATGAATACGTTGAAAATATTTCAGGTGCTGTATCTTTTTCCTTTGAGAACATACTTACCGATTGTTTAATAGAATTGGTTTTCAAACTTTCATTATTTATTAACATTCCTATGATGTTTGTTGTTGTGTAATGGTGATGTTTTATATTATTTTCAAAATTTCATTTTATTGTTTTCAACAAATGACCTGCTATCAATATGCATATGTATATTATATATAGTCAAATAAACTATCTATCTATCGATCAATTTAATTCAAATTTTAATTAATTACTTATTGGAACGTTGCATAGCAACAAACTTTCTCTGCCTAGGCAGTAAAAGTACACCTTTTCTGCCTGTTGAGTGTCATTGAAAATCCACTTTTAATGTCATTTGGAGAAAACACTAACTTTCGTATAGTAAAGTTGCAGTCATTGTCATAACCCCCAGATACCAATTTTGCATAGAATCTAGTAATAATTGAAAAACTCGTCCGTCATATATAGATCCGCCATTCTGATTTCCCAATTTCAACGAATGAATCTTAATTTCCGACCTCGAAAACCCCCAGTTACCAATTTTGATAGCATCGGAGCATAATTACAAAAGTCGTCCGCCATACCAGATCGGCCATCAAAAGATTCATAATCTCCGACCCCGAAAACACCCAGATACCAATTTTGACTAGAATTGGATCATGATTACAAAACTCGTCTGCCATATTAGATCCGCCGATTTTGAATTTCCCAATTTTGACGAAGGAATTAATAATAATTTCCGACCTCGAGAACCCAGTGTTACCAATTTTGATAGAATCTGAGCATAATTAGAAAAGTCGTTCGCCATATTGGATCCGCTATCTTGAATTTCACAATTTTGACGAAAGAATTATAATCTCCGACAACGAAAACCCCCAGATTCCAATTTTGAATAGAATTGGATCATAATTACAAAATTCGTCCGCCATATTGGATCCGCCATCTTGAATTTTTGATTTAAAACATATAGATTACGACCGATTCTCATATACCTACCCAATACGCACAAACATTTCCATACGAATCGGTCGAGCCGTTTCGGAGGAGTTTGGCCACTAACACCGTAACTGGGACTGGAGAATTTTATATAATATTAGATAACACATAACCTGTTGATTCATTTGCAATAATGTGTTTCCGTTGTTGTTTGTCTGTCTAGGTCATATTTGTCATATTGAACAAAAAAATATTTCATTGTTCTGTTTTCTTTCTATCTTATTGTATGTACGGATCACTTCTGGTTAATTATAGGCTATATATACTGTACTTTTTTTACTTGGAAAAGGTGTGGGGATAGTGTTTTTTCATGAAAAGTACCAAAAGTTACATGAAAATTAATTAAAAAATATGATTTTTCACGTCAAAAAAAGCCCGGGTACCATTTCGTGCAAATATAACTTATTTTTTGCAAAAGTGTTATTTTTAAAAAGCGATAACCAAAAAGAGCCAATTTCAACATCATGTATCTCCGAAACGAAACATTCTCGGACACAAGATTATGGACATAAAACACCCTGTAAGGTCACCCTATTTGAATCCCGTGGATTATCACCTGTGGGAGGTTATTTATTTTATTTATTTATTTATTTATTTCAGTTATTGCATTACATTCTTTTCTTCATTGATACATTTCATACAAATAATATATATAATTCCTGGTATAAGATATCATTCATGAAGTATTATCGACTGTTGTATAATTGAAATTACAAATAGTGAACAAAACTTACATATCATTAAGATACAGTCATATTATAGTGAACAAGAAGGGGAAAAATAAAAACAATGAAAAAAAAAGAAGAAAGGAAATTCATAGTCTTTCAGCTTTGATCATTCCTTTGCATATAAATATATTTCTTAACTTTATTTTTGAATTGCATAATATTTGGGCTGTTTTTGATGTCATCTGGTAATTTATTGAATTTCGAAATCGCCTCATGTGTAAACTTTTTTTGCCCAAGTTTAGAATTTGCAGCTTCAAGATGAAACAAGTTATAGCGTCTAGTGTGATGATCATGAATTTCGGAATTCCTGATTAATATAAAATTTGATTTAAGCTTTTTGTTGATGATATAATAGGAAATTTTGAGAGTATTGATTAAAAAGTGCTCTTCCAAAATGTGTTTGTTTCCTTATACAGTTGATTCGTTGGAGTATCATATGGAAGACGATACAATACTTTCAATGCCTTTTTATATAGAACAGAAATCTTGTTGAAACTATTTTTGGAACAAGAACAAGATCCCCAAATATTTATGAGATAGTTAATTCGACTGAGTATATGTGAATAGAGAATGATATTTGACGTATATATGTACTAAGTTTAGGACATCTTCTCAAAGCACCAATAATGGGAGATACTTTTCCTATGAGGATGTCAATATGCTTTCCCCATGTTAATTTCTCATCAATCCAAATACCAAGGTAATTGGTATGGGCAGTTATTGTTTCAAACGTTCATTTTTTATTCTAATATTCAGATCAATATTTTGTTTATTTCTTTGACGAAAAATCATATATTGAGTCTTATTAGAATTGAGAGAAAGAAGATTGGAATAAAGCCATTTCTCAATTTTTTTCAAGTCCCCCTTTGTTTAAATATAGTATCTTAGACTCACAGTTATTAATTTTAGTTATAATATAATAGGTTACTACCAAGTATGAAGAAGCATGCAGAAAAATGATAAACAATCAAGAAGTGATCCAAAAATCAGTGAGAATAAATATTACAGAAGAACAATAAGAAATAGCCCAGTACGTATGGGTATATCGAATAAGGGTGTTGTTAGACTTGGGGCCCATCTCCCTAATATCTCTTAGGCAATACTGAAATTAAGGAAAACTAGACTTTCAATGAATCCATTACACCATTATCCTGAAACTTTCCGGTGAATGGACTTCACGTAGAATATAAATAACCGGCTACAAACCAAAACTATCATCAGGACACAGACAACTATACGACCAGGACACCGACAATAACCATCCCGGACCATCAAAACGTACCAAAATGTAGTAAAAAATAATTATTGTAGTAACGCTCTAATATCATAATTAACCATTCTTGAATTTAAAAAAAGCGATATACTTATTCACTTTTCGCCCATAACTTTGTTCTCGAGAAGTATAATACTATTAATTGATAATATTATTAAAAGGTGCCTTACAGTTTTTTTTCATACTTTTGTAAAAATATAATGATCTATGATAAGAATAATAACATATAAAACTCAACCAAAATGAAGTATCTGCTTTTTTTTTCTACAACTCCTAACATATGTGTCCTACAAAAAAATTTGAACCACAAAAAATGTAAAGCACATTTTTGTACCTAAAATCCAAGATCTCATGCGCCTCGAGGTCGAAAACTTGGATTTTTCATAAGGGCCTCAAACCTAATAACATACTAAAAAATCGCTACCACCCCACCTATTGCATTCCAAAAACCCCCACGTACTGGACTAAAAATGTTTAGATCAAAATAGAAGGCCCTATATAAGCAACTAATTGTTATAATTTTTAAGTTTCAAGTTGAGAAAGTGGCTGTTTTGTTATTTTTGATGCTCTAATATTTGAGGAAATGAAATTGTTCCAAAGAGATATTACTAGAATTACTTCAATTTCTTGCCACAAATACATGAGTATCAAATATAGTATAATTGAAATATGTGAAGACACACTGGCGTGTTCACGGTTCATCCAGGTTTCCAGGTTATGAATGCTGACGATGACTGTTCAATAGGATATCAGAAGGAATACTCAAAACATTTCAATGCATAATATATCAAAATTCAAATTCATTAGTGAAAGAGCATTCGATTCAGTTCTTGTGCACTTTTCGAATAAGTAAGCGGATTTGGGAAATTCGAAAATACAGGGTGTTCCTTTTGTGCCCAGAATATGATCAACTTTTGTTAATCCGGACCTGGATTTTCTTCGTGCTGAGGTGAGTCGCTTGGATAGAAGAAGAAGATATTCAAAAGATTATAATGGGTGGTTCGTAAATCTTGGATATAAAACTTGTAATAAGACCCTACAATTATGGTATATATTCAGAACCACCTTGATGAGCTCTACACTCCGTTGAAATTTTTCCGTTCCCCAATGGGACACCCTGTACAATAATATCGTTCAATTAGAATACAACACACTTCATGTAAAATTATCGATATTCTTTGCACTCATGATATTACACGACAGCAAGTGGTCTCGAAAAATATTCCGCATTTCCTAATTTTCGAGCTACTCAAAATACAAAAGTGTATTATTAGGCTTAGTTTAAATTCATGAAACAAAATATTTACAATTTACAGTAAAGTTATTGTTAGTAAAGGCTGTTCTTATAAGCACCATTAATTTCAATACCTATCAGAATTGAATTATACAGTATGCACCTTCTGTTAGTTTCCATAGAAACTTGCTTCACATGCACACAAACATGAACCCAAAGTGAACTTGATTTTAAAACTATCCACAACTTTCTTCTTTTGTTACCTAGTCAATTTAATCATAGGTCAAACACAATTTAAAAAAACTTCAAATATGGAGGAAGACAATTCTTGGGTATTTGATTCTCTTGTTTGTTTCTTAAATGGTCCTATATGGAATGCACCACTCCAGACTTTTATAGAAGAAAAATCTTTGAGTATGTATAATTTCATTATCATCAAAAAATGATGAAGCAAGAAGAAATATTGAACCTTATTATCATTTTTCCAGTTTTTGAACCAAGCGTTAATGAAAATGAGGAATATACAAACATTTTTGAAGAGTTCAAAAATTTGGTAGATTTCATGCTTGGGAATTTCATGGAAGATATAGGGATATCTTCAGAGCAGTTCGAGATCGCATGCAAACAAGGAAAAAGATATCAAGTTGCTTTTGATCATGTGAGTAGATATTTCCAGTTTGGAAGCTTTCATGACTAATTTTTTACAGAACCTATTTGAGCAAATTTGGGCAGCAAATGACTACGAGATGTTCAAAAGAATGATGACGCAGAGAAATGTGGAACTCCAACTACAAGCATTGGAGCTCATCGAAAGAAAGTACGGAATAACACCAGAATCATTTATTCCGAAATCTAAAAAGAATGTTAGAGAAACGCCGATTACTATCGAGATCGAGAAGACTCCTAACCTTGAGAATGAAATTATGGAAGAAATATCCCAGTGAGTGTTAAGGGTAGATATATCAAAAAGCCACAAAACCCCTAAAACTTTTTAGTTGATGATATTGAATCATTCATTTTTCTATAAGTGCATAGGTAGGTGCAGGGTGATTCACCATAAATGTTCCCCCTCTAGCTCAATAATGATTCATAGAACCGATTTCAAAATTTGAAAAATCATCTGAAATGAATTTTCAGAAATGTGTTATCCACTACATCAAAAAATACAGGGTGCTCGGAACAAACGATCTACAAGCAGGGTACTAGTAGATTTTTTCGAATGGATCACCCTGTATTTCATTGCATTCTTAGGTTTTCCCTAAAAAGCTGATTTCATCAATAAATCAGACTTGGGGTCTAGTGGAAATTATTACAGAGATATAGGATAGATATTCAAAATCAAGATTTTTTCAATTTTAGTATTTGGATGGGGACATGGCAGCCGTTTCGACCAATAATGAATAGTTTCGAAACAAAAAATCGTAATGTTGAAAAATCTCGATTTTAAACACCCTATATCTCTGTAATCATTCCCGCTAGACCCAAGTGTGATGCATTGATGAAATCAGCTCTTCAGAGAGAATATGAAAAACCAATGAAATACAGGGTGTTCCATTCGAAAAATTCAAGTAGTACTCTGTAGATCGTTTGTTCCGAGCACCCTGTATTTTCTGATGCAACGGGAAAAAAATTCTGAAAAATCATTTTAGATTATTTTTCAAATTTTTAAATCGGTTCGAAAATGAGTGAGATAGATGGGGGGACATTTATGGTGAATCACCCTGTACCTTAGGACAAAATCCACAGTTGAGTTTGTATACCCCTGATTTCTGGAATTTAGAAGTTCTTTAGAAGTCTTTATTATTCTTGATGAACCGTCCCAGTTCTCAGTTGATGATCCGAAATAGGTTAAAGTTTTATAATTTTGATTATTATTCTTGATGGTAGGATAAACTTCTTGAATAGCTTCATGATGCAGTTTTTTAGAAAGAATACTGTCTATCAAATTAACGTTGTAGCACTTGTAGCCGTTGTTGGCTGCAATCTGTTTTATGATATTGAGTTCTTTATGGAAATTTACTTCCGAAAGAGGGACATACACTAGCCTGTGTATCATACTATTATATGCTGCAATTTTATGTTGATAAGGGTGTGTTGAATTATTATGAATCAGTATAGTGATTAGAGACCTACTATCAGAGCAAAAAAATACATAAAAATTACAACGATCATTGAAATATTAACTAGGAGATGGGGCAATACTTTTTGGACACAATGTAGAACATATACTAGAATAGCCTCATTGAAATAGAACTTTGCTGATCCATAAAATACAACAAGTTCATGAGCTGGGTCAGTGAGTCATTTCTCTGGGAATTCAATGGACCTTTTGCGTAGATTTTTTTGGAGAAGTTCAATGCGCCATTTCATTTTAATTGTTCGAATCTACATAACTGAATAATGTTATTTGTTTTACCATTCTTCCTCATTTTTGTAAATAACTTCATAATCAGTCATTATTATTGCTCATATTGAAATTATTAATTATTTTTATCATTTTCTATTATTTACTTGGCCATGCTATTTTCAAGATATTATGTTCTTGAAGTCAAGTTCAGTGTTGTCACACGACATATTATTTTCAAGATCTCACTAAAAATTCAAGCACAATACAAGAAACAATAATATCCCACAAGCATGAATTATTTTGACAAACTAAAATTATGTATGTCTTAGGAACTTTTCAAATGAAGAACCTGATGCCTCACTGGACATGAAAAATATTTTGGAAGAAAAGAAGATATTGGAAAAAGTACTGGAGGAAACAAAAGGTTTAAAAATATCTCATGTTTTATTTTCTTGTAAAAGTCATTCGTAGGGGCGGATCGTGAAATTTTAGGGTCCTGTATAGCCATTATAATAAAGTATATATTCAGGTATATGAACTTCCATCAAAACATACAATGAAAAAAGTAAAGCTAAGAATCAAATCAACTGTTTCGCTCTCTCTATTATCAATTGTTTTCCCGCCTCACAATAAGCTATGCAACTACAAAAAAGTTCAGAATTGTAACGGGTGTACCACTAAGAAAGGACGCCGGCTGTATCTCGGAAACTATTTGCCGCACAGGTTTCGGAAAAAAATATTTATAATAAAAGTGGCCAAGAAAAATCTCTGGAGTGTTTTTGCTATGTCTTGATATATCAAATTCACATAAAAACCCGTTTATTAAACTGGCCAATGCAATTACGCCCTCTAGGGGCTGTCCTGGAAACTTGAAAATAATTTCCAGAGATTCTTGTTGGCCACTTTTATCATAAATATTTTTTTCCGAAACCTGTGCGGCTAATAGTTTTCGAGATACAGCCGGCGTCCTTTCTTAGTGGTACACCCGGTACATACATGCGATTCGAAAAAACAGTGGAACGTTTTTCTCCTCAAAATTTAAAAGCATGCAGCATGTATGAAATAAACTATGACTTCAGGTGGATGCACTAATATAGATTAGAGGTACTGGATAAGGCAATGATGCAGTGTTATTCAAATAAAAACCAGTATACTCAATTCCAATTCGAAATCTAAACTTAAAAAGCGAATCAATTTAGATTACAATTTTTGAATTGATGTAGGTCAAGATGACTCATTCAAAATTGTTGAATTTAACAATGAATTTTATGAAATATAATTTCATAAACTATTGAGAAAAAAGCATAAATATAAATTTCCTGCGGTGTACTGAATTGCGGGAATTCTGAAGGGAATGACGATTTCATTTCTTTAATTTTCTAAAGGAAAAGCAAAATTTGTGAGGTAAGTACATACATACCTAAATTAAAATAAACTATATTATTTGCCCATTTTCAGAACAGAAGATTTATAAGATCCGTTTGAGAAAATCTACTGTTCCATTGATTTACAAAACAGACTATTGAAAAAAATTCTAATATTATTTTCACACGAAATGCAAAACAAAATTGAGAATACGAAACTGAGGAAATCAAGTAAATTGCATTGTGATATAGTATCATTGAAAGGAGTTTTCAGTACCAACCAAATTCAAGATTTGTCAGTGAAAAGTGAATGCAGCAAAAGGTGAAAAATCGAAACAATCTTCATGTTTTAAACTTAATCACTCGGGTCGTCTCGGGTACAGTTTTACATACAATAAAGGAACTAGCTACCCAGCCAACCATCGTGTGACATCAACATCTGTGTGATGTAACAACCTTGCATAAATGCAATATCTCGTTAACACATCTTATCGACGTAGATTCGATATCAACGTCGCAAGATGACATCGCAACCAGGAAACTATGTAATGTGGCAGCGACTTCTTCAAACTACATCTCTTCGACGTTAACTAAATAATTCACATTGATATCCTCATGAGATATCTTTGTGACCTGTGAGTGTGACGCAGAGTTGCGCAAAACGAACGCACACGCCAGACGCCATGTTGAGCTGTGCATGGCCACGTCAGTCAGTCAGTCAGTCAGTGAGTGAGTCCGACTCCGTACAGCCTATTTTCCTTCCAAATTCTCTGTTGAAATATCTGAGATGATTTATAGCACATATTATAGCATGCAGCTTCAAATTGGAGGTATACAATCATTTATAGGAAGGACGGTGAGTTCAATCACAATTCTGACCACACACTCATCTCCACAACCTGCCCATTTTTCATTCCATCAACTGATCCGGCACCCCCACGTCGTATATGGCATTACAATTCAGGAGATTGGGACGGTCTCCGCATGTTTTTCTCCGAGTTTCCTTGGCATAGAGTGTGCTTCGACTCTGAGGACCCTTCACAGTGTGCTGCGGAAATATCCGAGATCATCATGCTCGGAATGGACACATACATACCCCATTCTTCAAAAAGATCATCACCATCGAAACCCTGGTTCAACAAAAACTGTTCTAGAACTGTTGCCTTGAAACAAACAGCCTACCATCGCTGGCGCAAAAACCCTAACCTTGCGACTAGAGCAGAATACGTTGATGCCAGAAATAACTGCAGCCAAACAATAGATGCTTCGAAAGAAACATACAATGCCAAGATAAGATCGAAACTCATAGATTGTCCCAATGGCTCCCGTTCGTTTTGGTCCCTTGCTAAAGCGGTCGGAAGAAATTTCACTAATAGTTCATTTCCACCACTGTCCAAATCCGACGGCACATTAGCAACAACATCGCAGGAGAAAGCAAATATTTTTGCAGAGATGTTCGCAGCAAACTCTACTTTAGATTCCCAAGGAAAAGTGCCGCCAGACATTCCACCCGTTGAGAGTCGAATGCCCGAAATCGTCTTCCGTCAACGCACTATCAGACGAATTTTGCTTGGTCTCAAAACGAATAAGGCTAACGGTCCTGATGGAATTCCACCCATTATCCTCAAAAAATGTGCACCGGAATTAACACCGATTCTCTGTAAGTTGTTTACCGTCTCGTACAGGTCGGGTATCTTTCCATCATGCTGGAAGACAGCTAGAGTCCAACCAATCCCCAAAAAAGGGAACAAGAACCTGCCCAACAACTACAGGCCCATTGCCCTGTTATCAGTAATCTCCAAAGTTATGGAGAAAGCCATCAACATTGAGCTCATCAAATATCTGGAGAGCTCGGGAATCATCAATGATAGACAATACGGCTTTCGCCACCGGAGATCTACTGGAGATCTACTTGCCTACGTCACCCATTTATGGCAAGCTTCATTAGAGAAACACGGGGAATCTCTAGCTGTCGCTTTGGACATATCGAAAGCATTTGACCGTGTTTGGCACGAAGGACTCCTCCACAAACTACCATCATACGGCTTACCACCTCAGCTATGCCATCTCTTATCGAGTTTTCTTTCAGGCAGATCGCTTCATGTGGTGGTGGACGGTGTATCGTCTGATACAATTGGCATCAATTCCGGCGTTCCACAAGGATCAATTTTGGCACCAACATTATTCCTTCTTCATATCAATGATCTGTTGGGAGTAACAACTTGCCCCATCCACAGCTTTGCAGATGATAGTACCCTCCATACAGCGTTCTCTTCCAGAATTCCTATTTCTTCCCAGGAAACTAAGAACACACGGCGCAGGCAGGTCAATGCTGTCAATGAAGACCTTGCTGAAATCACAGCCTGGGGAACCAACAACCTAGTTGAATTCAACGCCACCAAAACTCAAGCCTGTATTTTCTCTAGAAAGGCGGAACTCAGTATGCCCGACATTGTAATGTCTGGCACCACCATCCCCACCAAGCCCACCATATCTATGCTCGGTATTTCCATCAGCAACACTCTTTCATGGGATAATCATGTCAGATCCATCGCAAAAGCTGCTTCACAAAAACTCGGATTCTTGTTTCGTGCGAAATGCTACTTTACACCTCAACAGCTCCTCATGATCTACAAAGCGCAGATATGGCCTGTTCTAGAATACTGTTCCCACATATGGGGTTCAGCACCGAAACATACGCTAATGCTCTTAGATTCCATCCAGAGAAGAGCCATCCGCCTGGTGGGTGACGCCACACTCACTCGCTCTTTGACATCATTGGAACACCGTAGAAAGGTCGGCGACCTTTCACTTTTCTATCGATACTTCCACGGGAAATGTTCTTCGGAAATCTCTGCTATCATCCCTTCACTAGCAATACCAGTCAGACGAACTAGACAAGCCCAGTCAGCACATCCCTTCGTTGTCAACCTCGAAAGATGCCGAACAGCACTTTATCAAAACTCCTTCATCCATAGAACGGCTGGGCTCTGGAATTCATTGCCTGAGGAAGTATTCCCAACAACATATAATCTCCAGAAGTTCAAAAAAAATTCCAATACCTACCTCCTATCCCTATCCTCCCTAGGAACGCACGATGTTCTTTGAACATTAAAGGGATTCCCTCTCGTGCGCTCTAAGCGATAAAAAAAAAAAGGTAATATTGTAATTATCTCTGAGATAGTAATATTGCAATCTAAAACAAGGTGGACGAAAGATCCCAAGATAATGTAAGTGTATTTGATATGTATCATTTATGAATAATGTATATTTGTATTGCTATATATATGTGTCATGTTTTACTTCAAGATTACTTATAATTAGGGTGATTGTCATGATAAGTTTTGTATCATCTGTTTTTACTTTCGGAAAATAAACATTTTCTTCGTGAAGTTGAATAATTATTATTATTATATATCCCACGAATATCACAGGTACGGCGACCACATCATCGATGTCGCAGTGTGATGTATTTGTAATATGAAATGTACACTTGTATGTGACCTGGTAGATTTTTCATGTGATGTCGCATTCCATGTCTGAACGACGTCACAGTGATGTTGCTTGAGTCGGACATTTTCACATCGCCACGTTGTATCGGTAACATGTTTGTGACTTCAAATGCGATATCGCATGTCACATAGTGATGTGGCGTATACATCACTTATGAATCTCATGGTTGGCTGGGTATAAGTATATCCATATGTGCGTATATTTTGTCATATTAAAATATGTCGCTACGTGAAATCTTTTCATTTTGATAACTATTGTTCTGCGAAAACTGTATCGCTATATAAATTGGAGTGGGTGTTCATACCCTATTTCTATTTTCCACCTACAATGGTTGATTTGACAGGATATCTAACCTCTAAAATCGTATCTGACAATCAGGCGCTACTAGGGAAATTGAAAAGAAAAAGAGCAGAATATATGTCTTATTCTTTTATTCACTCAAACCATTGTAATATAGAGAATAGAAAATGACTTATCTAATACCTTTCAGTGACTCTAGGTCAAACCAGTACGAATGGTCACCTTAATGTAGGTAGATTTTTTTTCAGATTCGATTTTTTTTATGAGCTTGCTGAGGATGCTGCAGCCATATAATTAATAGATCATATCATACGATCCGCCCCTCGTCACTCGTTTTATTATAAATACAATCGATAGTTCACCACTTATATTATACATTGAATATATCGGGTGTCCCTGTTAAATGATTCGATGAGGATGAGAATTTGAAATTTGGACGATTCGATCTAAGTCCGGGTTATTGTAATGATGCCTTGATTGATGGTCACTAGACGAACAGGGTGGGCAATGCTTTGAAATTTTTTGCCAAAGGAAGTATATTCCCAAGAACTTATAATCTCCGAGTTAAAAAAAATCCAATATACCTACCTCATCTCCCTATCCTCCCTAGGTATACGCACGATGTTCTTCGAACATCACAGGGAGTCCCTTTGGTGCGTTCCGAAAGATTAGGAAAATAAAAAATTTTGACACTTTCAAACGGGAACAATTTCTATGACAAACTGAACTTTACGTTCCAAAATACCACTTTGATATTTAGCAAGGCTAAATACGTATATTCCGACAATTAATCCAGCCAACCGTCGTGCGACATCAACATCACTGTGATGTAACAACCTTACATAAATGCAATATCTCGTTGACACATTTTATCGACGTAGATTCGAAATCAATGTCAAAAGGTTACATCACAAACAGAAGAATATGTAATGTGGCAGGGACATTCATCAAACTACATCTAATCGACGTTAACTCATGAATATTTCACATTGATATCCAAATAAGACATCCTTGTGAGCTATGAGTGTGAACGCAGAAACACACACGAACACACAAGAAAGACGCAATGTTTAAATCTGTGGCCATGTAATATGTATCACGCCCTTTGTTTGTTCATTCATCGATTTCGTCGTCCGATAGTCCCACTCCGCATAGACTGTATTTTCTTCTTAATTTCCTGAAAAATCTGAGAAACTTTATAGTACCATGTCACCTCCAAATTAGAGGTACAATTATTTAGGAACGATATGGTGAGTACAATAACAATATTTTAATAATTTCATTTGAATTATAGTCAATGGTTACTCACCTTACACCTCTGTCCTCTTAGATATAGGAATAACTCAATCCCTTAATTCAAGATTACCAATAAGGATGATTGTCATAATAAGTTCTGTATCATCGGATTTTACTTTCGGAAAATGAAGATTTTCTCCGTATGTGAAGTTGAATAATTATAATTATCTATCCCACGACTATCACAGGTACTGTGTACACTGGACCACTAATCGATGTTGCAGTGTGACGAATTTGTAATATAAAATGTACACTTGTATCTGACCATGTCTGTACGACGTCACAGTGATGTTCCTTGAGTCGGATATTTTCACATCGCCAGGTTGTATCGGTAACATGTTTGTGACCTCAAATGTGGTATAGCTTGTTACAAAGTGATGTCGCGAATACATCATTCATACATGTCATGGTTGGCTGAAGTAGAACTGATTAGCTGACTGCTGACTCTTTAGTATATTTCGAAATATTCTGCAGAAATTACCAGTGAGTGATAGTAGAAATTGACGATATATCTTATTATGACTTATAACAAATTACAGTTTCCAAAACCCCACTTTATTTCTATCGAGAAAAATAGGACTCTCCCTGTTTTTGGAAGTGTCCAGTTTGGCCCAGCCTGCACATCCAATGTCCATATTAAAAAAAAATCATTTTTGAAAATGCTTGCAATATATGCAATATATACAATATATTGGAACACCCGGTATAAAAATCAACTCATTATATGCAGTGGCGTATGTGGGAGGGAGTCCACTGATACCATCAGTTTTTTTCTCTCTGCATCAACATAATATGCATCCGCCTTGAACCATTCAGGATCTCGATTCTATACCGGGTGGCTACGGAAGTATTGCCTATGGAATATCCCAGTTATTGTATGAAGTAGGTTTGTGAAATTTGAAGCGTCGATATAATGACATCAGAGCTAGAATTTGAGCATATTGACATGTCGAAGTTAACTTCCGGTCTGACCGGAAGTAACATCAACTTTCTTATTTTGAATGGAAACCCTATTTTTGTTTCTTCTCGCTTTATTCAGCATTCAATTCCCTTTCTAATGACATATCACAAGTTGGCATCTAACCAGAAACTAGATCAGAAAAAATTATTATTGAAATTCACCGTGTAGGCCGTGGAAGCAAAATGAAAGCCAAAAATTGAAAAGTTGGCTATGGAAACCATACTTCACTTGATAACAGTTGCTACTACTGTGATATTTTATTTTCATTCGTCGGCGTTATGAAAAGTCGCAAAAAAAAATATTGGAAAAAATGGGAAAAAAACAATACTCTGTAGGTCCATAACTTGAATAGGAACATACAACTTTTTCTTGCCTGTACTATTCAGCATAACCATTCCTTTCTAATGATATAATAGAAAGTCATTTTTTGGCTTTCATTTTGCTTCCACGGCCTACTCGGTGAATTTCAATAATAATTTTTTTCTGATCTAGTTTCTGATTGGATACCAACTTGTGATACGTCATTAGAAAGGGAATTGAATGCTGAATGAAGCGAAAAGAAAAAAAGAGTTTCCATTCAAAATAAGAAAGTTGATGTTACTTCCGGTCAGACCGGAAGTTAACTCCGACATGCCAATATGCTCAAATTCTAGCTCTTATGTCATTATATTGACGCTCCAAATTTCACGAACCTACTTCATACAATAACTGAGATATCCCGTAGGCAATACTTCCGTAGCCACCCGGTATATATCTGCAACTCTTAGAGATGCCAAAGTTTTGGCGTAGGTATATGTCAGTATTTCACAGTTGAATAAGGCAGGAATTTTCAGATAATATAGCTGCAAACACTCAACTTCACTGAAGGAATAACGAATATATGGATTGTGATGTGTGGGTTAATAATAAGAGCATTGAAGACTGAGGTAGTTGATATCATATTCGGAAGAGTATTGCAAATGTCATGTCAAGGAATAGGTGATTCATTAAAAAAATATCAAAGCATAATTTGTATTGATTACAATTTCTGTATTTTCTCTAGAAAGGCGGAACTCAGTATGCCTGATATAAAAATGTCTAGTACCAGTGTACCACCAAGTCCACTATATATTCTATGCTCGTTATTTCCATCAGCAATACTCTCGTGAGAAAATCATGTCCGATCCATCGCGAAAGCTGCTTCACAAAAACTATTACGTGCGAAAATCTACTTATTTACACATCAAAAGCTTCTCATGATCTAAAAACCAGATACGACCAGTTTTAAAATACTGTTCTCACATATGGATGACGTCAGCACCCAAACATATACGCTGATGCTCTTAGATTCCATGTAAAGAGCAATCACTCACTAATCCTTTGACCTCATTAAAACATCGTAGAAAATTGGGCAACCTTTCACTTTTCTATAGATACTTCCACAGGAGATGTTCGTCAGAAATCTCTGCTATCATTCCATCACTCTAGCAATATCAGTCAACAGACGAACTCGACAGACCCAGTCAGTCAGCACATCCTTTTGTTGTCAACCCCGAAATATGCCGAACAACACTTTACAAAAACTCGTTCGTCTACAGAACGGCAAAGCTTTGAAATTCTTTGCCAATGGGAGTATTCCCAAGAGCTTATAACCTCCAAAAGGAGAAAATATTTTTATGTTCAATCTATTTTTAATGCATTTTTTCATTCGAGGGAAATGGAATCCTAATGCAAAAGTTCATTTTGACAAAAGGCTTCAGAAAAGTACCTCGAAAATGTTTTTTTACAGCGATTTAATGTGCGCAAGACGCGTTGAAAATGTTTTGTTGTGTCCATGAAAAGGCTTTAAAAAAAACTAGGGAGAAGGTAGTTTTGTGACATATCAAGGACATCTCGATAATTGCCGCCTGCGGCGGACATTGGCTGTTCTATAATAGTTCTATTCATGTGTGAACAGAACATCGCAGTGGAGGTTCAATGTCTCGAAATCTCGAACTTTTAACATCTCTGAGATGTTTTTGTGCTTGCTGGGTATATAGGTCATGATAATATGAGAAAAGCGAGATCCTGAATGGTCTAAGCGTTGATGTGTGAGGCTGAAGCATCTGCCCAAGCCAAGTGCTCATAAAGGTCGAAAAACCTAACTATTGGAATTGGCTATGAACAAAAAAAACTTGTCAGGGGCTCACCCCCCCCCCCCTTCCCTATCCCCTGAAATACATTCCACTGGGCATATTTATTTTCCTTAGAGAAGTCTGTTGCAATAGTCGAATCAAGAGAAAAGACAGAAGGAAGCAAACCGGAAAAACCAACAACTGAAGATAAAAAAGCAGTACTTGAAAAGAAGCCAGATGAAGTGAGTCAGCTATTCAATAATGTATAAGTCACAATGATCATGTGAAACCTATTAGTGATTGATATAACACTGATTGCAGTAGTTTATTCTCAAACTGAAGATTTATATCGAAAATAATTTGAATTCCACTTCATTATTTATGAAGATCTGATATCATTTATATCAATACGAAAAGGATATTGACTCAACTTTTCACTTGCCCATTCAATATAAAGATGACATCGATCGAATAGACAAACATTCATTTCATTTCCGTTTATATCCAAAATTATAGGCTACATGTCTAAATACTTGTTTGAGAAAGCAATTTCACCTGGTATACCATTAATGCAATGTTTTCATATTATTTCAGATAGACTCTCTGGAATTGAAAAAACGACAAGACTACTTGAGAGCCCAAAGAGACAAGTTAGTTGCTTTGAAGAAAGATGCAAGGCGCAAGCAGCTTGATACTGAAAATGGCACCAAAGACAAGACTAAAGCCAGACCGAATTCGGCAAAAGCTGCCGAAGCGGTTTTGACAGGAGAGAAGCCCAAGGTTGAGCCACAACTTCAACTAAGAAAAACTCTAGCGGAGCGCTTGAGATCCGAAGTGGTGTCAGGCAAAAATAAAAATTAACTTTTCCTAATTATATTTATTATCTAAATATAACGAGTACAGTTTTTATTTTACATTCTTTCAACATTGATTTGTTACATGGAAAATGAAGATTAGAAAAGGGTATTTTTATCTGTTCTATCCAAGAACGAATGGCTTGTATAAAATATATGGTAAGGCTGCCATATTATTATAAATAACATACCATTGTTCAAAAGTTGTGCAAATTTGATATTGTACCCTGCTTAATTTTGAAGGTAGGTAACTTTAAAAAAATAATCCATTCCAATAATTGTATTGGTAGGTAGTTTCTGGATGTTTTTTGTCTGTGAATAAATACACATTAACGATATACTTAATTTAAATACTTATGAATATTGCTCAGATTTTTTGAGCGGTGATATACGAGTGACTCAGTTTTATTCCCGGAAACCTAAACGTATTCTGCCAACCAAATTTATAGGAGATATCAGAAAATTAGGTGCACGATGGTTTATTAAAAATTACCCTATACCTCTTTTCAACAGTTTACCGTGAAATAGACATTTTCATGCCATAATCAGTATACTATGATCAAATGAAGAAATAATAATTTCAAATATAGTAATCACTAACCAGCTGTCTAACCATGTCTAAAACTAAAACAACAACAATTTTTTTTTTTTAGATGACTATAACCCCTCAGGGGGGCATTTCTGGGCCAATGTTTATATAAATTTCTATTTGTATTCCTAGAGTCGGTGGATGAAATCTTCTTTTGCAATTTGGGGACACCCTGTATATCTGAAGGAGGGATGACGGGTTGAATTACTTCTCCTGATTTCTCAAAGGAAACAACCCTGTATTGAAATGGATTATTTGTTGAAAAAAATATATACAGGGTGTTTCATTGGGAAAGGTAAATTATTCAACTGTGGATAGGGGTCACTGGGGTGATTTGAAAAAACCCATGGTTAATGGGTCTTCGACTTCTTATAACCGAGATACAGGATGTTTCATCAATTTTGTCCATATCTTCATTGTCTCATAACTTTCCAACCAACCTGTATATATTTTTAAAAATTGGTACACTTGCTCAATCTACCCTGTGGAATTGATTGAGGCAAAATCAAAAGATTAAATCCAGGTCCGGCTTCACTTAAAATTCACAAATTCTTTCTGCCAGAAAACAACACCCTATACATTCGAATATCTCATTTTTTTGCCATATCTGAAAAGAACATCAAAATTTCTATTCGACGATGTGCTTTTTAGTCGTGCACAGACGATTTCAACCATTCATATTATGTGCTCAAAATATTATTTTTGCTCATTTTGGGGTACAAAATTGGAATCAGACGAGATTTATTAATTTTATTACTTCCTATCCAGTATACGTGAGTATTACATTTAGAAGGAGTAATTCATATCGTTCTTTGTTCCAGACTTAGTTGCAGGTCCGTCATCAAAACTATACAGGGCTTTTCACGATGAGCGTTAATTTGACGTTTTCGGCAAACCAGGCAACGGATATTTCTGAAATTTCGATCGTATGTATAAATTAACATAATCTACACTACTGAAATATTTGATCCGGCCTTGCCGCTTCTACTCGAAAGTAGCAGTAACTTTGATTTTTCAAATGGGACACCCTGGATGCTTCCTGAAGAGCAGATTTAATCGATCCACAAAGTTCGGGGTCTAGTGGGACTAATAAATGAGATATTAAGAGTGAGAAAAATCGAGATGTTTCAACTTTAGAATAATTTTGCGAAAATATTTATTATTGATCAAAACGGCTTTTATGTCCCTATCTTAACTTTGTATCTATTGACATTTAATCGAAACAAATACAGGATGGTTCATAATTCAGATTTCTGCATCACCCTGTATCTGTTTCAATTGAATATCGAATGGAAAGTTGAGATAGGGACATTGAAGCCGCTTTGACCATGCAATAATAAATAGTTTCAACACAAAACATTTCTAAAGTTGAAACATCTCGATTTTCCACATCCTATATCTCAGTTAACAGTCCCGCTAGACCTTGAATGTTTTGAATCGATGAATTCTGCTGTTCAGCAAGAATCCAAGAATGTAATGAAATACAGGGTGTCCCATTTGAAAAATCGAAGTTGCTGCTACTTTCTAGTAGAAGCGGCAAGGCCGGATCGTTTCAAATATTTCAGTAGAGTAGATTATGTTAATTTATACATAACATCGGAATTTCAGAGTTATCCGTTGCCTGGTTTGCCGAAAACGTCAAATTAACGCTTATCGTGAAAAGCCCTGTATAGTTTTGATGACGGACCTGCAACTAAGTCTGGAACAAAGAACGATATGAAATACTCCTTCTAAATGTTATACTACGTATACTGAATAGCAAGTAATAAAATTAATAAATCTCGTCTGATTCCAATTTTGTACCCCAAAATGAGCAAAAATAATATTTGGAGCACATAATATGAATGGTTGAAATCGTCTGTGCACGACTAAAAAGCACATCGTTGAATAGAAATTTTGATGTTCTTTTCAGATATGGCAAAAAAATAAGAAATTCTAATGTATAGGGTGGTGTTTTCTGGCAGAAAGAATTTGTGAATTTTAAGTGAAGCCGGACCTGGATTTTATCATTTGTGGTTGCCTCAATCGATTCCGCAGGATGGATTAAGCAAGTGTACCAATTTTTAAAAATATATACAGGTTGGTTGGAAAGTTATGAGACATCCTGTATCTCGGTTATAAAAAGTCGAAGACCCATTAACCATGGGTTTTTTTAAATCACCCCAGTGACCCCTATCCACAGTTGAATTATTTACCTTTCCCAATGAAACACCCTGTATATATAGGGGTTTAGGAATATCCGTTGAATGCTTCCGAAAAGAATGGCAAAAATGACAGGTTTGTAATATTAACTTTCTTAATTAATTTGAGTAGCAGAATATGCTGTTCAAGGTTACGGAAATGAAACTAGATCACCCAGTGTAGGAAACAATAAATAGTATTTACACAATTCTCATGCCTTCTTCAAGATAATAACGAAAATTTAGAAAAGAATGAACAAGATTTCACTTCAATAAGAATTTCAAATGTAACAGTGCTATAATTTGAAAAAATACCCCAATTGCCTCTGGAACAGAATATTATGATTAGTATGAAATGTTGTTTTACTATAAGTCTCAAATCTTCAAATTCAAGATTGAATATAGGAAATAATAATTGACATACACATAACATAATCAACCATTGTAGTGCCAGGGCAATCTGGTCAGTGGTCATTCATATTCATCAAAGAATTATTCCTGCCACACACATGATGCTGTAATGAAATTGTTATTTGTTTACTAATTTACCAATTTCATTCAAATTATTTGGAACGTTGCATAGCAACAAACTTTTTTTGGCTGGGCAGGCACCTTTGCTGCCTGTTGAGTGTGAAAAAAACTGATTTTTTACGGCTTTAACACACGCACATTTACTGTTTTTGATTAATCAATGAAGTACGCTGTATTTCTTCAATTTCATTCTCTGATCTGATAACACAATGACTTTCATTGTGTTATTATTTCACAATAAATGTTATCTCCCATGAGATGTTGAACTTCAAGCAATGAAAGCTCTGTTTGATAGAACCTCACTCAAGATAAAATCAGATGGTTATAAGCCAGAGATCAAAAATTTTGCTACGGCTCATGCTGCAAACTTCATTCCGTGCTCGTTGAACAATATACTATATTTCACTTTTTCCATAACTTAAGAAAAAAGTTTTTAGTCATCACCACATCTTATCTTGAAGAAGCTGAGCATAAGTGAGAGTAAAGATGAAATCATTTCTAGACTCAGGCAATGCTGTTATGCAATCATAGTGATCTATTTTGTCAGTTTCTGCAAGAACATACTACTTTAGTGCTTAGCCATTTTTGATTTTATGATGTTATATGTTTGCAGTCACCTTGTGAATTGAAGAAATAAATTTGATGTGTGGTAGTGTGGTTTAGTTGTCTCCTGATATGGCATTTCTTTCAACGATTACGAGTCAACTACGAAACTCTGCGGTGCCGCGACATTCATCTTGAATAAATTAGTATTCTTAATTTTGTCATCTACCTTATAATAACTTATGAGTGTATAATTATTAGTCGTGAGTTTGGACTTATATTGTTATGAGTATATTAGTATGTTACAAAACTTCCTGAACTTTTTTGCCATTAGTAATTTAGGCCGGAATTAATAAGATGAACCCGAAAAATCCTATTGAATTGGCAATTTGGCAGCGTTTCCACAAAGGTCCTTTGAATTTGGTCTTTCCATAGAAGAAATAAGCAAAATTCATCTCTCTTTTTAATTAGTTACTCCAAGATAAAAAGTCGCCCACATCAGACATATCACGCTCAGGTAATGCATTTTAACTGATATAATGGTTTTATGGTGAAAAAGACCAGGTGGCTATTTTTTCTGCAAGCCTTCTTGCGTGATATGCTGCGCAGGGGTGGTTTCAAGCTATCGAGCGCTTTGAGGTCAGGGGAGAACTCGCATAAGAACTGAGGAACTTTGAATTCTGGTTTATGTTTATTCTTGTGTTTTCAATTTGGCTAATCCGAATAAAACAAATGTATTTCTAGCAAATGTTCATTGTTTTAAAACACGGTTTGAAAGTTAGCAAGCGGAAGACTTTAAGCGGCCAAATATACAGGGTGTTCCTTAATGATGTGCTAATATTCAACGGGTCGATTCTTCGACCCATTTCAAGAATGAAACTTCATATGAACAATGTAGTAAACGTCTCAACGTTTAAGATACATAGTGTCGATTTTGAAAATATGCATAGATTTTTTTTTGTCCATCCTGTATAGCTTTTCGTGATGGCAAAATTCAGTCTGCTATGTGACTGAATCGGTATACGAATTTCAAAATGTTACATACGGTCGTTATCCAGTAATGGATATTCTGAATAGAGAGTACTCACATCAAACTTTGAAGTCTGGTCTGGTTTTTTCGTTTTTTCTCGAAAACGAAGCGTTCTATCGAGTATCAACAGGAGGATCTTCTTTGTACATAATTAAATAGCCTTTCATAGCATTGTATGAAATTTGAAAATTGTTCGTCGTTGCTCACTTTTAAGTAAAATATAAACAATAATTTTCCCGTAACGGTGCCACTGGTAGAGAAAATGAAAATTTTTGTACATCAGAAAATGCACCTTGATGCATAAAAGACGTGTACCAATTTTCAAAAAGATGTATACAATATTGTCTTAGTTATCATCAAAATACTGAATATTTTTCAAAACTTTTAGGACATACGTTCATAAAAAGTGTTCTTCCTAAAATGAGTCAGAGAATCACCTCCTCGTATATTAGCATGTCTTTAAGGAACACTTTATATACAGGGTGTTTCAAAAAAACCTGACCCCCTTGCTAGGGTAGGTAGAACACTGCAAAATAAATTGGGTTTGCTCAGTGAAAAAATGTAACGGCATCCGTTTTCATGATACAAGGTGTTGAAAAAATGTTTTTTTTTACACATTTTTCACGATTATGTCGAAGCTACTGGCAACATTGTAATGAAATTTTGTATGGATGTTTCTTGAAATCTGACACATCGCATGAATTTGTTTTTATGTCTGACTCTCACAGAGAGCGCTAGTTACACGGTTCGTACCGAGTAGTTTAGAACATAACTTTTTTGAGGATAGATTTTTCAATCCAAATATGACATGAACTTGAACATCATTCAATTTTACACCAAAAAGATACTTCTTGTGAAACTCGATACTATGTTCCGTTTTCGGAATATTTCGATTTGAAAATAATGGAGTAATAGCTGATGCTGGTATAAAATTAATTTTATTGAGTTCAATTACCTATTTATTCAGATTCAAGAACGATAAAAATATTCTTGTGATGAAGTTATTGATGGAACAAAGAATCATAAGTAGAAAATTAAGTGATATTTCACTAGAAACATGAAATATTGAATCAGTA